TATATATATATATATATATATATATATATATATATATAGTTCTGTTGGTGTGGAATAAGAAGGTCAAATTGTGTTGACGATCACTACCCACCCACCTACCAGGAGGACTTCAGGGAGATCACTACAGCCTAGCCCCTGTGGCCCTCTACCCACAGAGTCTGCCGCAGCCTCTGTCACAACCTCTGTGATTGAAGGGCTGCTTAGGCGTTCTTAGGTTGGCTACAAGACCTTGAAGCCCTGGACCTCAGGATGGCTAAATGGTTGTATTCTTGTTTGTCTTTTCAGGGACAACACATCAAGCTCACTAACCCCAGAGGACACTGAAGACATGCCTGTGGGTCAGGATACTGAAATCTGCTTGCTGAAGTCTGGAGAACTGATGTAAGTGACAATCCTGAGTGGGATTTTCCAGGGTGTCGTGTTTAGGGGGAGAGGCACCAAAGAGCAGTGGTTTTTCTGGCACCAGAGCTGGAGAGAACCACAGAGGCTGGACCTTAGTACCAGTGGTTGTTTTTAGTTTTTTCTTTTTTTAAGGTATAATTCATATACAGTAAAATTTACTTTTTGTAATGGAGAGTGCTTATATTTTGACAGACAATATGGTCATGTAATCACCACCACAAGTAAGAGAGAGAACAGTTCCAACACCATGACACCTTCCCCCTCCCCTGTATAGTCATCCCACCCTATCACCATGTTTTTCTTTTTTAAAAAAAAAAACTCTATTTTCTTAGTGCAAGAACAATACATTTTCATTGTAGCTCTGGTGGTATAGTGCCTAAGGCACTTGACTGCTAACCAGAAGGCTGGTGGTTCAAACTCACCAGCCACTCCTCGGAAGGAAGGTTGGGCAGTCTACTTCTGTAGTGATACTGCTTCAAAAACCCAAGAAGGTGTCACTGTGAGTCGGATCCAACTCGACAGCCATGCATTTGGTTTTTGGTTTATATAATTTTTTAACATAAACGAATATTCTACATCCTATTTCATAATCTTTTATAGCTTAATATAACATGAGTATTTTCCTATGTCAGTAACCATTTTTCTCTAGTGTTGTGTCCAGTGGCTGCATGATAATCATTGACTAGATTCAGTCAGTCAGTCAGTCACAGATATTTATCCAGCACCTACTATGTGCTAGGCACTGTTCTAGATGTTCAGAGTAAATCAGTGAACAAAACAGACAAAGATCTCTACCTTCATAGAGCTTGTATTTCAGCAGAGGTTGACAGACAATAAAAATAAGTAAGTAAATTATGTAGTGTATTACAAGGTAGTGTTTGCTATGGAAAAAGTAAACAAAGAATAGAATGGAAGGAGGGTATTACAGTTGTAAATCGAATGACATTAAGAAGGTAAGAGCTAGAAGAGGAAAAGGAGTTGTCATGTAGATATCTCAGGGAAGAGCAGAGGGAACAGCTGGTGAAAAGACCCTGAAGCATGTCCCTGGGGCTCTATTCTTCTCTATTTTCATACTTGTTGTTGTTGTTATTTGCCGTCCAGTCGGCCCTGACTCATAGCGACCCCTCCTTGGGTTTCCGAGGCAGTATCACTAGGAAGTAGGATTGCCCAACCTTCCTTCCAAGGAGTGGCTGGTGGGTTTGAACCACCAGCCTTCTGGTTAGCAGTCAAGTGCCTTAGGCACTATGCTACCAGAGCTCCTACTATGCTACCAGAGCTCTGGGTAATTTCTATTCTACCTTCAAATTTACTAATTCTTTTTTCTCTGATCTATTCATTATACTATCAAACTTATCCAGTGAGTTTTGGTTTTTATTATTATTATTATTATTTATTTATTTATTTATTCTTTATTTATTCATTCTTTATTTTTCCTTCCTTCCTCCCTCCCTCCCTCCCTTTCTCCTTTCCTCCCTCCCTCCCTCCTTTCCTTCCTTTATTGTATATTATATATTTCTATAATTTCCATTTGGTTCTTTTTTGTATTTTCTGTTTCTGTGGTGTGATTTTTTTTTATATCTTAATTTGTTTCAAGAGTATTTGTAACTATTCACTGAAGCTGCCATTTTTACAATAGCTTCTCTAAAAGCATTGTCAGATCACTCCAATATCTGATTAATGTCAGTAGTGGCCACTATTGATTGTCTTTTCTCATTCAAGTTGTGATTTTCTCAGTTCTTAGTATGATGAGTGATTTTCAGTTGTATCTTGGACATTTTGGATATTAAGTTGGGAGTCGTTAGAAGACTCTCAGTCCTATTTAAGGGTATTTCAGCCATCAGTCATGCTGTTTGGGTTGAGTATATACAACTTGGCCTACCTTTGTAGGCTGTGGTTCCAAAGGCAGTTTCATTCTCAGACCCAGGACAGTGCTAATCTGATCTGCATTCATCTGTTCCTGCTGGAGCTTCCACTCAGTCCCTGCATGTGCCACCCACAAGGGCAGGGTACATTTCTCTGGGCTTGGAGCCACTGGATGACAGAGATACCAGCACATTGTGTTTTTCCTCAAGTCCTGGGGTCCCTCCTTAGCTACTCTGCCTTCCTTTTTCTACCCTGCAAGGTATCTTGCTTAATTATTTCCAGGATCTTTTGTTATGCTTCATTGGGAGGGACAGGGAAGTGTCTGAAAATATTCAGAATAAAACTTGGATGCTTATCTTCAAGTAAAGAGATGAGCAAAACCAGGAGATTAAGAAATAATTGAAACACACAGAATCCATGACAAATCCTTAAAGAAAATAATATAAAATTAATAGAATAGGTCAGCTGGAGATGTGAGTCAAATGCAAGGAGAATGACAATACCTTGAAATTGTCTCTCCTTGCCCATTTCCAAGTGATTGATTGGCAGCAAGGTTTTGGCAACCTCATCGTAAGAGCATCTGAAAGCATATTAAAGATAGGGGTTATCAGAACATGCAGGATGTCTTTGTACCCTTTGGCTTGTGTAAACTAGAATTTCTGGAGGCACTCAAGATTTACATTTGTTATGGGAATCCTGTAAACAATAGAATTTTGAAAATTTAAGATTATATTTGAGCATAGATGGCAAACTTTTCATTTTTTTTTATTAGTGTCTCCTTTAAGGAGACTGAGTATTATCCTTCTCACTGAACAGACGGAAGGTCAAAGAGACTTAGGCACAATCCAAGTAACTAGGTGCCGAGGGAAAATTCTGGAGCAGAAAATCATAAAACAATCCAGCATCAGTGGGGCATTCTGTCAGAGTGACTGCTTATGGTGAGATTTCCATATTTCAAGACAGACCTCTTTTCCTAAGTGGCCTCTACCCACCCATCCACCTGCTCTCAGATTCTTAAAAATTATAAATATTCACCAAGGCCTTTTGTGCCATAATTAGAAATAAAGTTTGAATTCACACATTGAGAAGTATTGCATTGAATTAAATTCTCACAAAGGTGAATGTCTTATGTCAGAGCTGTTCCTTAAAATATTTTTGCTGTTTGTTTGTTTTTAAGCCGTTGATTAATCTTCTCATTAACACAGTTTTGGCTGTTATTCCCATCTGTCTCCATGGTTTTGGACTCTCAGCACCACCACTTACTTGCTGTGCAGTCTTGGGCAAGTTAGCTAACCTCTCTGAGCTTTAGTTTAAAGGGGGCAATGAAATATTTTCTCCATGAAAGGCAGTTTTGGTGTAGTAGAAAAATAATGACTTTGGATCAGATCAAGTTTCTTAATCTTTTTGAATCTTCGTTTCCTTATTTGTGAAATGGCAACAGTTTTGCCTTCCTCATATGGCCATTGTAATAACATGTAAAGTTGTAGAGGAGAGAGAGCTACCTTCCCACTTCACAGTTAAAGAAACAAGGCTCACAGAGAATGAATGATTCTTCCAAGGCCACACTACTGGTAAGTGGCAGCTCTGCCTGGAGGCTGTGAACCCATGATCCTCTGGAGGTGCACAGTGCAAAAGGTGGTGCCACTCAGTCTGGGGGGCCTTAGACAGGCAACATTACGGGAGACTTCCCCATTCACATGCAGTTCATTTGCACACCAATCATGAGGCAGACTATCCCTGTTTTGCATATGAGGAAACTGAGGCTTATGAGAGATCAAGCCCTGTAACAGTTAAGAAAAGGACCAGGTACCAGAACCCAGCTGCCTCTGGCTCCACACCCCACATTTTTGACGTCACACACTGGGGCTGGTCCTCCAGAGGCTCTGAAAGCAGAAGGACTCACTGTCACTAAACCCTTTAAGCTTCTGGAAGAGGCTCTTATCCTTCTGGTGAGAGTCAGAGCCAGAAGCATAGCCCCAATAAGCTTCTCTCCTTAATGGAAAGGTAGCTCCAGGCCTTCTCCTCTACAACTTTACATGTTATTACAATGGCTGTTGAGTTGCCCCTGCAGTATAAAAAGTCTAGGAGTTTTGCATCTAAGAAAAGGTCAGTATGAATATTTGAAATCTTGCTTCGTGCCCCAGATTTCCACTGAGAAGGCCTGCGGAAAAGGTAGGAGGTTTGCAATGGTGGATATACTTTCTGCTAGTGCCAGTTAGAGAAAAAGAGGAGACAGGGAATTGGAAAGAGAAGGTTGCTAGCTGGGCAGCAGGGCAGCTTCAGGAGAACAATGGAAAGCAGAGGCCTCAGCACTTGCTTCCTGTCCATGAGGGGCATAGAGCAGAGGTGGGCAGGGGCCAAGGGAGCAGATCATGTTCTCCTGTCAGTTTCAGTGGGTTTGCAGGTATCATGTCACCCCGAGGCAAGGATTGTCATTTTTATATTTTGCTTTTATGTTCCCAGTGCCTAGACATAATAGATGCTCATAGTAGACAAACCAGGAGTCCTTGGGTAGAGCAAGCAGTTAACATGGTCAGCTGCTAACCAAAGAGTTGGAGGTTCAAGTTCACCCAGAAATGCCTCAGAAGAAAGTCCTGCTGATCTACTTCTGAAAAATAAGCCAGTGAAAGCCCAGTGGAGCACAGGTCTACTTGACATACATGAGGACACCATGAGCCAGAATCAACTCTACAGCAACTGGTTTAGTAAGACAAACCAGCATGTAGTAGATTCTCAGTAAATATGTGCACATCAAGTTTTCTCCCATAATTTAGCATGTGGATCACAGTTACCCAGGGTTTGTCCTCCCAGTGGCCACCAGGATCTTGGCTGCCTCCAGCCAATAGACACAAGCACTTTGTCAATCTAATCAGGTCCCTCTCTACATTCTTATTTTAGGATAAAACTACCCCTCACAGTGGAAGAGATAGTCAACTTTGGGGAGGGCAGCAGGGAGCTGTTTGTGAGGTCCAATACCTACAGCCTCATCCCCATCACTGTGGCCGAAGCAGGCCTCACCATCAGCTGGGTCTTCTCCTCCGACCCCAAGAGCATCTCTTTCAGTGTGGTCTTCCAGGAGGCAGAGGACACACCGCTGGATCAGTGTAAGGTAAGGCCAGGCTCCCTGCCTGTAGGCTCCTTTCTCACTCATTGATTTGCTTGGTCAAGACGTTTCCCATTACTGGGGCCTTGGCTGGGCTGTCGACTGTAAGGCAGGCCTTACCTGGAATGTGATGGTCAGTTCTAGGCTCCTACAATGAACAGAAGCTTATTTAAAGGAGAAAAACCAGGGTGGGAAGGCCCTCTGACCCATGTCATGCAAAGCAGGTAAAGCACCTGAAACTTATAATCAACTTGGGGAAGGAAAGAGCTGGAGGCTAAGGAGAGCTGTGTGCAAATGTCTGAAGGTCTCTCTGTGGCATACAGGTTCCATCTGGCCTTGGGATAGATTAATGAATGAAACGGAGAAGAATCTAGCTGTGTGTCTGACTCAGTTTAAGGATAATTTCCAAGAGAGCTATGCAAAGAAGGATTGGCGTACCTGGGGAGGTAGTGACATCTCTGCCTCTGGTGCAGTCAGACAACATTATCATTATTATTAGCATTAATATTAGCATTAGCTGTTATTAGACAGCATTAATTAGAATTAGAGATAATCCCAGTGTCCCTTGAGTGGTTGAGTTTAAAATCTTGGTAACAAATACCAATTTACAAACTCTGAAGACATTCTAGGCATGGGACATTGACAGTGGCCAGGACCATAGTTCTCAGCCTTAGCTGCACATTTGAAACATACCATCGCCAGGGCTACTCCCCAGACCACTCAATCAGAGTCTCTGGAGTTAGGAGCCAGGCATCCATAGGAGAGTCTTTACAAGGTTGAGACTCACGGGTCTAGATCTAGTAGAAAGGATGGGATGGAATCCTTGAAACACAAGGAACAACGGTATAACAGGACTGGGACTCCATGGGTGGCTGATTCAGTATGAGGTGAGGATGATGAAGACCCTATGCCTGTATTCCATGCTTGAATATCTGCAGGAAGAGGGTGGAAAGGGGGTAATGAAGAGGGAGCTGGTTTGGATGGAAACATGAGTTGCATTCAAATCATTCTGAGTGGAAGGAATGGTGAGGTTAGTCAGAACTGCTGGACTGAAACTTAATATGAACCCTAGACTGTTAACATAGTTGCAAAAATCTCCATTTTACATAAATGGCAAGAATCAAGACAGGGAAGAACAATTTGAAGTCCTGTGAACAAGACCTTTGTAGGGTCTTTGCAAACATGTATATTAGTCCCTCCTGCATTCAGTCACTGGATATCCTCAAAGGACTCAGAGTCAAGGGGTGGGGAAGGTGCAAACTGAAGGAGACTTGGCTAGGAGGCATGATGGGGACACAGAACAATTCTCTGATGGCCACAGACTTGGTCTCTAGGTCTGGCATTCACAGAAAGGAATTTATACACATTTGCCTTTTGCACTCTTGCTGTCTCTACCCTCTTAGTATCTGCTCATTTTAGATTGTGTTGTCATTTCTGTCCTCTTCAAATTCACTTTCAAAATTTAACTCTAGCCCCCTTGACTTGCCTTATTTATTGGAGTCTTATGTTCTTTCTTACTTAATAGCCACCCTGCCCCTCCTTTCCTCTTAGGGGCTTGCAGCCAGTGCTACATATCTAGGTTTGAAGCCCTTGCTTCCTGAGGGGTTCCAAACCTCCACCCAGGAGGTCCTATAATTTGTGGTCCAAGGCTTCTCCACCTAGTTTAACCCATCTGCAAGTAGATTCAGACTCATCCACTTGGCACCCACTATGTACAGACCACAGGTCTTAGTCCCAGCATGTTGTTGTTGTTGTTGTTGTTGTTGTTGTTGTTAAGTGCCATCGAGTCATCTCTGACTCATAGTGACCCTATGCACAGCAGAACAAAACACCACCCAGTCCTGAGCCAGCTCCACGATTCTTGCTACACTTGAGCCCATCGCCACCGCCACCATGTCAGTCTACCTCGTTGAGGCCTTTGCCTCTTTCATCCACCCTCCACCTTACCAAGCATGACATCCTTCTCCAGGGAATGGTCCCCTCTGACAACATGACCAAAGTAGGTGAGACGAAGACTGGCCATTCTCGCCTCCAAGGAGCATTCTGCGTGTACTTCCTCCAGGACAGACCTGTTAATTCTTTTAGCAGTCCATGGTACTTTCAGCATTCTTCACCAACAGCACAGCTCAAAAGCATCAACTCTTCTTCAGGCTTCCTTATTCATTATCCAGCTCTCACATGCATATTAGGCGATAGAAAATACCATGGCTTGTATCAGGCGCACCTTAGTCCTCAAGGAGATATCTTTGCTCTTCAGCACTTGAAAGAGGTCCTTTGCAGCCAGTTTGCCCTGTGCTATGCGTCATCTGATGTCCTGACTGCTGCTTCCACTGGTGTCGATTGTAGAACCAAGCACTGTGAAGTCTTTGACAATTTCAATCTTTTCTCCATTTATCATAATGCTGCTTATAGGTCCAGTTGTGAGGATTTTTGTTTTCTTTATATTGAGATATAATCCATACTGCATATTGTATTCTTCAATCTTCATCAGTAAGTACTTCAAGTCATCCTCACTTTCAGCAAGCAAAGCTGTGTCATCAGTGTTATCGCAGGTGGTTAATGATTCTTCCTCCAATCCTGATGCCATGTTCTTCTTCATATAGTCCAGCTTCTCGGATTATTTGCTCAGCATACAGATTGAATAAGTATGGTGAAAGGATACAACCCTGATGCACTCCCTTCTTGATTTTAAACCATGCATTGTTCCCTTTTTCTGTTTGAACAACAGCCTCCTGGTCTATGTACAGGTTCCTCATGAGTACAATTAAGTGTTCTGGAATTCCATTCTTCTCAGTGTTATCCACAATTTGTTATGATCCACACAATCAAATGCTTTTGCATAGTCAATAAAACACAAGTAAACATCTTTCTGGTATTCTTTACTTTGAGCCAAGATCCATCTGACATCAGCAATGATATCCCTTGTTCCACGTCCTCCTCTGAATCCAGCCTGCACCTCTGGAAGTTCTCTGTCGATATATTGCTGCAACTGTTTTTGAATTATCTTCAGTAAGATTTTACTTACATGCAATATTAATGATATTATTTGATTGTTTCTACATTCTGTGGGATCACCTTTCTTTGGAATGGGTACAAATATGGATCTCTTCCAGTCAGTTGGCCAGGTAGCTACCTTCCACATCTCTTGGCATAACTGAGTGAGTTCCTCCAGCGGGGCATCCATATGTTGAAACATCTCAATGGGTATTCCCTCAATTCTTGGAGCCTTGTTCTTCGCCACCTCCCTCAGCGCAGCTTTGACCTCTTCCCTCAGTACCATTGGTTCTTGAACATATGCCACCTCCTGAAATGGATGAACATCAACCAGTTTTTTTTTGGTACAGTGACTCTGTGTATTCCTTCCGTCTTCTTTTGATGCTTCCTACATCATTCAATACTTTGCCCATAGAATCTTTCAATATTACAACTCAAGGTTTAAATTTTTTCCTCAGTTCTTTCAGCTTGAGAAATGCTGAGCGTGTTCTTCCCTTTTGGTTTTCTAACTCCAGGTCTTTGCACATTTCATTATA